GACAGTCCTGGCAGGGACAGCACATCCAGCCCTCCTGAATGAACACAGCCGTGCCTACTGCTTCGGAAAATAGAGCTTTTATTTGTTCATACAAATAGTATGAATTATCAGAATTTCATTTTCCTAGAAACATCTTTCTCTGTGTAAAATTAATTTGTGTTGTACATACCACAAAATACTCCATATACTTTTTTTTTTCTTTTCTTTTTTGTGGCTTTTTTTGTTTGTTTTCCTTTCTATTTTGTACTTTTTTTTTTTTTTTTACAAATTGGCTACTGGACTATAGAACCATGTTACAGGCAACACATCACTAATAGCTATACTGCACTTCTGAATAAAGGACTGAATGAAACTCAGCCATAAATTAAAGTTACAATGTGAAAAAAATAACCAACCAATCAAACTTCTAATCACACCTCCAAGCTTAATTTAAAAGAAATAAGGGGGGTATTTAAAAAAAAAAGCACGAATTCCAATATTAGCAACCAGATGAACACCACAGAGAATTCACCTTCATTGTCATATTTGTTAGGTAAGGCTTTTTTACATTAAAAGTGTACTGCAGACTTCATTATGAAAGATATTGAGAAAATTTTCTTATGGTTAGAAGTGTTATTCCTCACTCTCTGTATTTCCACTCTCCAACAAGTTTGCTCCACAAGAGTTCTTTGCAGCAGGGCTTGATTATACAAATTAAGCCCACACTCTGCTGTACAGCTGAGGAAGGCATTGGGATATTAAAAACTTGTTTGCAGGCAAGCAAGGAAGACTTGCAGGGGGATGCAGAACTCTTCAGGCACTGAGCAGCCGGCAGAGACTCCGCGGGGAAGCGCCTGGAAAGGAGCCCATGCCAGCACACAGGTCCTGGAGGCTCCACCAGTGAAACACGGGGAGGTGGGAGCTCACCAAGGGCCAGGTGGAGAGGTCAAGCTTCTTTCCATGCATTGCATAAGCTGCTAGAAGGAAGACTGAGGTTTTGAGAACGAAAAATCACTTGTTTTTCCACCAGGAAGCATTTTCTTAGTGCCTGCAGCTCCTTCCCCTTGGTCACCCAACAGTGGCAGGGTCTGGGATAAAGCAGACACACTCCTGCACTCATCACCTGTCCAGCAGCAGGAGACAGAGCCAGGGACCTGGCTGGAGCTGAAGCCAAACCTCTCAAAAGTGCATAGATCCACCCAGCTGCTTAGGCCTGCAGCTGGATTTTGCAGGACAGAGGGAAAGCAGGGGCTGTCAGCCTGCAGAGCCCAGCAGGTCCTTCATCCCACCTGAACCCTCTGCAGTCAGACTGCATTGGCCCAAAGTGTCATTTCTGCACTAGAAATGGCTCAGGGCAAGGAGAACTTCCCTGTTTGTGGGAACATGTGTTTGGAGGCAAACCCCAAGGAGGGATTTGGATCCTGCTTTGTAGGCATCTCAGCCTGATGCTGTTATGCTTAAAATCTCCCTTTCCTTGAGGTCACCCACATGCACTCCACCTCAGGGGTGAACTCACTCATGGTGGTGTGAGTCCCTAAATCCCTCTGGAGGTGTGACACTGCTGAGCAGGCCAGAAGCCCTCAGGTTTATACAGAGCTCTGAAGGGCAGCTCCCTGGCACCTGCAGCAGACCCAGAGCCAAGTCTGCTCTTTGTGCTCTTTGCTCTGTCTGCTGGAGCAGGACTAGCTCGAGACCCAGACAGAGCAGCTCAGGCTCTAAGGAACATTTTCATCACCCAGCACCACAGCAGAGAGATGGAAGGGGCAGGCTAGAGTGAGGAGGCTGCAAAAGTAAAACAAACATTTGGGAAACAACACTGAATGCGCCCCACCACAGCTGGGCACAGCTACAATGGGCAGCTCTAAGGGGGAGCTACAGGTAACTATGGAGAGGTGCAGGGCAGGGATTTCTATAGGCAATGCATATGAAATTAGATGTTCTACCCATTGGTGCTTTTGTTGTTTCCAGTTTCACTCACACTGCCTCTGGAAGTGCTCCCACAGCAACACCAGGTGATGCTCACTGCAGTGCATCTTTTCAGGGCTGCAGATGAGGAGTGGGGAGAACAAGCCCAGAGACATCAGAGCTCTCTTTCTGTTAAACATTCAGTGAGAAGATCACTTCTGCTGCCATCTTGCCCTGGAAGTGTTGCAGTCAAGCTGGCAGACCCTCTGACAGCAGTGATAAGGCATTGGACACACACAGTGCTTATCAGGACCTCCTGGGCTCACAGAACACTGGTAGAGCTCTCAGGACAGACCTAACCTGTCCCAGAGTCCCACAGCAAGTGCTTACATCTGAGAAGGATTTCATTCAGGTTAATGGTTGCATGTTTGCAGCCTCCTGTCCTGCCTGGCTGCTCAGCCAGGGCACCCAGGGACTGCCAGGAGTACCCCAACCCCAGCATGCCCAGATTCCCCCCTGCCGTCCTACAGACTCACCCTTGTTGGTAAAGCAGCACTTCTCCCTTGGTAGAGACCACAGATAGAATTAAGATGGAATTAAGAGGGCTAAGGGCGATGTTCCCCAGTCTCACGTACTGGGACGTGCTGTGGCGGCTGTGGGGCTGGAGGTAACAGTGCCTGTGCCATGTCCTGGGACATGCTGCATGCTGGGAACGATGCCAGACAAGCACCTGAGGTTTTCCCAGTGGTTCTGCTGGTGTCTTTGGTGATGGAGGGTGCTCCACGTGCTGCAGGCACTTCCATCTCCCAGCAGTGCCTGGTGTGCATGGGTGTCCCTGGAGCAACACTTTCTGCAAGTCGCTCTGACCAGCACCACACATGTCACACACAGACACAGCATTTTACATTTGTCCTGCAGTAAAGATTCTAAATGCATAGAGGGACTATGGGAAAGAACCTCCTGGACAAAAAGCAGGAAGGAAAACTGTACTGAGAGCTTTGCCTATGCAACCAGCTCTGCAGCTTCTCTGCTGGAAAAAGAGCACATTGCCCTCCTGGCAATCCTGAGCAGGAGCCCTTGGCTTGGGGTTCCCAGGCTTACAGCCACTGGGAAAACATGCTGCTGCTCAGCAGAGGTATGTGGGTGCAGGGATGCCCAGCCTTCCTCCCACCCACCCCAGAGAAACACCCCTCTGGGCCATGGAACTAGCCAGAAAAATGTGGGATGAGGGAGCACAACAGCGGAGCAAAGACTGGGACACTGGAATAGGGAAAGCAACCATTTATAAAGGCCAGATACCCGTAACAAAAATAAACTTGTGCTTTCCCTCCCTCCCTCCTTTTGATTTTTAAATACAAATTTTGTTTAGGAAAAGTGGAAGCACTGTCTGTTACAAACCAAACCAAAGAGAAAGAAGAAGGGCAAAAAACCAAGGAAAGGAGAGACATTAGAATTAAACACCGTGGAATGTTAAACAGGTTACAGGCTACCGTTCTAGCCAGTGCGGTTAGGCAGCTTAGTGAATTAATTGCTTAGGAATTAAAAATAAATTATTATAAAATAGATTTCTGTACATTTTACATACATATATATCTCTTTATATAAGCAAACCCTGCTGGGCAAGTAATAACAGGGGACTTTCCCATGCCAGGCTCAGTCCCAGCCGAAGTCCTGCCCTGTCATCTGGTAGAACTTCATGTTGAAGGGCCTGTAGAAGTCCCTCAGCCTCTGCACCACCTCCTGGTCCATGTCAGGGTGGGTCCTGCCCTTGGTCTTGCCCAGGCAGTGGGGTTTGCTGCTGCCCTCCGCCTTCTTCAGGCACGGGAAGCCCTTGGTTTTGTTGAAGTAGAAGTGTTTGTCCGTGATGATCCTCTTGAGGCCCAGGAAGTCCTGGACCCTGCCCAGCTCCCCCGCGGGGTCCCTGATGAGCCTCTCCCCGCTGACAAAGAGGATCTGCCCGATGGGGAAGTGCAGCAGCCAGTTCTCCAGGTGCTTGGCGTAGATGCCGATCTGGATGGCGCTCCACGAGGTGTCTATGAGGCCTGTAGTCCTGTTTTTGAAGGTCAGGCTCTCAAAGGTGGGGATGTCAGGCTTCTTGGAGAGGGTCTGGGTGTAGTCCGAGATGGCCCTGGTGACGGGGTCGCGCACCACCACGATCAGCTTGGTGCCCTTGCTCATGGAGGAGATGCGGGCTGGCGCCTCCTTGGTCACAAAGTAGCTGGGGGTCTTCTCCATGGTGATCTGCCCCTCCAGTGTCCTGGGCATCAGCTCCCTGCCAGCAAAACGCACAGACATGGGTCAGAAGGGCAAGGAAGAGGAACAAAAATATCCATATGCATTTACAGGTATGTTCACACATAGATACGCAAGAATTCTTCTCCCTAGAATGCCTTCACAGGCCATTTGGATCAGACAGACAAATCCATTTCCCATTGATTTAGGGATTAAGGGAGGATTATTATTAAAGGCCACTGTATTAGAAATGCAGTTGAGTAATCCCCCAGTTATTAATGAGTGGATTAGCTGAGCTACACTCTGTGCTTGGACCATGGCTGAATGTACCACACCAGCTCTAGACTGGTCAGGATGGGTCCTGAGCTGCACCTGAGGTGGCTGTTTTGGCTCATGACTACACCACTGAGACCTCAGCCCCAATCCAGAGCTCATTTCCCCGTGGGAATGAGAGGATGGTACAGCGGAAAAGCAGGAGATCACTGGAGTATGTTCGCCTCATTTTCCCTCAGCATTCCAAATGCAAAACTTTTCCGAATTCAAGCAAGACGGTGCAATTTTTCTCTGGCTTGCCCAACAGCAGGACTTCACTCACAGGTGTCCTCTTGTATCCAGTTTCTCCTCCTGCTTTACTATTCCCTATCACTTGTTTCCTCACATGAGCAAGAAAGGGCATCAAGAGCTGCCCATGGCATCTTCAGCACATCCCAGTCCAAGAGACAATGAGGACAACCCCACTCCAGCACTGCCCCACGGGTTACAGCAGGTCAGGATATGGGGTACAACTGCGGAGAACACAACCTCAGCACATGGGCAGGACATACCTCCACAAAGTACTTTTAAAACTTAAAGGTTCCAGCAATTCTACCTTATTCCCTGCCTATTCCTAATTGACCACATGGGGAAAGAGTAGGGAGCTTGCAGAATTGATGGAAGTGGCATGAAGCAGGAAGAGTAAATTTTCCTATTATTCACTAGACCAGCTAAAATATTTTAGACTGTTTGCCAGTTCTTTCCCTTTATAGCCCTAATGGACTCATTTGCTCTCGATTGAGAGACAGTTGAAAAGAAAAGGCAAAAGGGGAGTCAAGTACAAAATTAAAGTTATAAAACTTCATTAAGTTTTCAAAGCATCCACCCAGCACAGAGAAATAAGCAGCCAGCGTGATCTGCAAGCCTGAAGCTGTGCTTCCCTCAGCCACGGGACACCACACAGAGGCTGCTCCCACAGCCATCTCCTCCCTGACTGCTTTCATGCTTCCACAGCAAAGATCACCAAGGCTCTTGCAATTAAAACAGCCACTGATAATTTGTGCTAAAGCCAATGGTTGCCCTTATTAAGAACGCAAGGGAAGAAAGCTGACCAGTCTGTTCTGAGGGCAAATAACAGGGGATCCAGGAATGAGAGGTCTGTTTGCATCCTAAATCATCCCATGTCTATGAAATTTGTTCAGTAGCTGTTTATGCAACCATTGGTGAGCTCACACTGTACCTGGTATTTTACTTCACCAGCCTCTGGCATTGCTTTGTGCAATGTATTTACTGGCAAGGGGCACCCAGGGGCTGCACCCCCATCCTCCCTGTGAGGGGTGCCCACAGGCCGCCCATAAAGCCCCTTCTCCACAGCGCCAAGGTGGGAGATAATCCCCTGTGCCAGACCTGCATGGCACCCAGGTCGGAGTGGCAATGGACGAGGTGGACGGTGGAGGAAGGGGATATCAGCTTTGGAACCTCCAGTCATGGCCAGAGGTGGTGGCAACCCTGAAGGCTGGGATTTCAAGTCCACACAAGTGGAGTTTCACATGCAGATAAAAATCACGCTGGTCTACCAGATACCTGGGATGTGAGAGCTTCTGGAAGGCAGGAGCTAGTATGTGTGCCAAAACCAGCAACCAGAATAAAACTCTGACTAATCCTTCGCCTTTCTGGCCAACTCTGCAACCCCATAATGTTGTCACAGAATAGGACCAGTCAATAACACTCAGAGCAACTCTTAAATTTGTCGTGGGCTGAGGTAGATTTCAACATTTGCTCATTAAGTGTGTCCCCTTTTACAGCCACATTAAACCCAAGTTCTCCATCCTGCACTGGCCACCAACTGCTTTTCAGCTTGATTTAAAAGGTTGTTTTCCACCCATGAAGTCCTTAATGGCCTGGGACCTGCCTAGAGAGGAGAAAGATTCCCAAAACATTCTCAGGTCGCCCATGTTCCACTGAAGCCCTTCAGCTTTAGGTCAGGTTCATTGGATTACTGGTTGTATGGGGCCCTGCATTTTGGGACTGATTTCTCCTCCAGGACTACTACAGCCAGTATTTATCAGTCTCCTGGGAATGATGCAAGGTTTATTTTTCCCCTCCTTGCACAAGAAAGGCATAGGGCAGGGCTGTGAAACGGGAGGAAATTGCTGGGGATGGAGTGCCAAGTCAGTTGATTCAGTTGGGAAACACAGGTTCTTAATTAGCATTTCAGCAAATACAGAGGAGCTCACCATAAGTGGAAGAAAGCAGGGAGTAACTCTTTACCTAAGAGGCATCCATTGGCCTGGCATCAGCCCCTTTGCAGAGCAGTTCATCTCCTGGGCCCACACTGCACTTGTGGCTGAAAGTATTCAGTTCTGGGCAAGCCTAAACCTCCCAGATTGTTATTTTTGGAGAGGGCCTAAATTCCTGGCAATTTAAGAACATTTTGCTGGTGACCCATCACAGCAAGCAAAGCAGAACAAGGCACATTGACACACCTACTGCCCTCAGGTTGACCAACATGGGCTGAGGTGAGCAGAGGTAGAAGCAAAACCTTCATCCCACGTACAAGGCCTGGATCCACCAGAAACAGCCCTCGGGCCCCTGCTCTGCCTTCATTTTACCACATGGGTGCCAGGCACAGCCCGAAACTGAGACCCTCAAGATTGTCTCAGAATCTGCTTTGTTTGTAAAGTGGCTGCATGAAAGAATGACAGCTGCAAGAGAAGCCAAATATTGTGGCCCATAGAGGTCGTTTGAACCTCTGACAACACCACATCCAGGAAAGCAAAGTTTTACTGCATGGGCATGTCAGTTGTGGGAGCTTTCCCATGGTTTCCATAATCTCCCACAGAGGCACCATCCATCATCCTGGCAGCCAGAGACAGCAGAGCCTCAGGGACAGAAGGAACTGGTACATTGGCTGGTCTGAACTCATAGTGGTGGAAAGAAGAAGAATAATTTATTCCCATTCAAGCCACAGCTGGAGAAGGGCAACTTGGCCCAGCAGAGCACTGCAGCTCCAACACAACACACTGGACATACACTTTGGTGGGAGGAGGACCAGATCCAGACCTGAGCATATCTGCTCCTGGGGCAGCAAGGGCCATGCTAAACTACAGCTGCTGCTTTGGGAGGAGAAAGAGGAGCTGTGATGGTGAGGAGCCACGATGGCCTGGCAGGATGCAGCCCCTTGGGAGAAAGGAGTGGGGTCCAGCAGAAACCTGCTTTCAGCTCAGGTGGGCACAGATCACCCCAGGCAGCTTGTGACCACTGTGGAGCCTCTGTTTCCATGGAGGATTCTCAGGCACCATGGAGATGTGGGCAGCTCCTGCCAGCACTGCCTGACACAAGGTGAGAAAGGCAGAGGTGCAGCTACCACTGCTGTCCATACAGGAGAGCAAAGGGAGATGAGAGAGGGAACCAGGCTGTGGGAAACAGAAAGCTCAACTGAGCCCCAGGGCTGGATAGAGACACCACTGAGGGCCATAGTGGAAACTGTAGTAGAAAATACAGCATGAAAACCTTGGCAAGCCATCCCTCCTGCCTTCTGGCAACCTGGAGTTCAAAGACCTCTGGAGACAGCATCTGCATCCAAATCATCCTATTTCATAGTGACTATGAACTGTCTAATCCTTTCAAACCCACAAATACTTCTGGCCTTGAGAATATCCCACAGCAGAGAGTCCCAGCACCAAATCACTGCCTCTACCTGTCATTTGAACTCCATCCCCACTTCCCTGCTTGGGAAGGGACGAGGCACTTGCTTATTGAGCATGGAAGAAGGAAACGAGGATGAGGAGCACCAGCAGACTCCCAACATCCTTGATTCCCCAGCCAGCCCAGCCAGAAAGCACTGCTGACTGGGGCAGAGCTGCCACAGCTGGGTCCCAGCAAGGGGAGGAAGCTGCTGCATGAGCACAGCTATGAATTTTGCACAGCTATGAATTTTGCACAGCCAAAGAGCAAGCCCCTAACCCTGAGCTATTAACATGTCAAGAGGGACAGAGGAAAAGCTTTTCCTTTAATGAACATTTCCTCGGTGAAGCCTGCACCCTTTGTAGGCGAAGTGATAGGCTTAGTCTAAAGATGGATTGGCCTACTTTACCTATTAACCACTTAAACTAATGTAATAAAGGCTCTCTTCATTCAAACAGCCCTAATCCCCAGCCCCACGCAGCTCTGAAGCCTGGAATAAGAAGGGATACTAAGATGAACTCAGCCAGGCTGTTGCTTGGAAAGGCACCGGGCAGGGCATTTTGTAGGGGGGGGGGTGGGGTTAGGCGCAAACTTCTCCAATGTGAAAATCAGACCCAGAGTGAGATAAATTTACAAAGTGGGGATGACAGGTGGCCACATGGTAATCCAATCCTGAAGCCTAATGCCCTTTGTGGCAGCTTTTGTCCGCACAGAGGGGCTCCAGGCTAATCTGCCGCTACTTCTCAAGGAGGAACATGCCAGGGGGGTGAGAGGACCCCCACAACCTGTTGCTGCCTTATTTGCCACAGGTAGGACAGACCAGTGCAGGGCAGAGCACAGCTGTGGTGTCTGGTTTTATCCCTGGGGACGTCTGCTGGCCCCCCATGCACCTCCTGCCAGGGCCAGCCCCTGCTGGGATAAACCCTCTGCTGTGGCGGAGCCAGGGCAGGGCCAACCCGGGCTGACCCAGCTGCAGCCAGCACCGCCTGCCCTGGGCCCAGCCCAGGCTGCCCAGCCAAGGCCCAGCTCACTCAGGTGTGCTGCTGCCCAGTAGGAGCTCCGGAGCTGAGCCATGGGCTTGCCTTTCCGAGGAAGGTTTCA